TGGCTATAATTTCTGATATAATAAAAGACTTGATAAAAAAAAAATATATCCAAATCCTGCTAAAATGAAAGCTGTAATTACATTTTTTTTAAAAAAAACTGATGATGAATTTTTTTCAACCTTCAGTAATACTGGATAGAATAATTACTATAACAAAAAATATAAAAGAATGTAAGCAAATTTATAAATTTTTATTTTCGTTTGTATACTTATTTTTTTAAAAAACCATGATGGAATATAAAAAATACAAAGTAGTATAAGTAAATTTAGAAATTTTTATTTTTGTCTTTTACTTATTTTTTTTTAAAAAACTTATAGTTAACTGAAAGACTGCGAAGTCAACATAGTACAGCATGTTCGTAAGTAAAAATTGCCATCTTCAAAGTTTTTGTAAACAAGGGCTTACCTCCTATAAATAATACTGCAAAAGTCACCCGAGATTATCACGTGTAAAAAAAAGCCAGTTATATTAAAATGCTTTAAAAATTTATTTACAAAAATTAATAGAAATGTAGAAGAATTTGAAACATATATGGAAAGAATTATAAAAGATGCATGACCTAAAAAAAAAAATTTATCTGATTAACAAATTTCCTAGGTAATATCAATAACTGAAATCTTTCTTGACCCCAAGAATAAATATATAAAAATAACTGAAGAAACAATATTACCAATTCTTGAAAAAAATAAAGTAAATTCTATATTTTGTCAAAGATTTTTAAAAAATTTCAAAAATTAACAAACTAATAAAATATATATAATATAGGAAAAAATCAAAAATAAAGAAATTTTTAAATATTCTCCTCAATCTTCTACTCCCGGATCTCCTGCTCCCGCTCTTGAAAGTTCTCCTGTTCTTGAAAATTCTCCTGCTCTTGAAAGTTCTCCTGCTTCCGAAAGTTCTCCTGCTCCTGAAAGTTTTCCTGCTCTTGCTTCCGCTCCTGAAAATTTTTCTGCTCTTGTTTCCACTTTTAAAAATTCTTTTGCTCTTGCTTCAGCTTCTGAAAGATTTTTTACTTCCGAAAGATTTGAAAAATCTCAATCTCTATCTGAAGAGCCTCCAGAATTAGAAGGTTTTCCAATCACTTCAAAATTACATAAAAAAATTAGTAAAAAAAGAATTAAAGTCAAAAACCTACGAAGTAAAAATAAAAAAATAAAAATAAAAAAAAAGGATGAAGATGAATATGAAGAAGATAATGAAGAAGAAGATGATGATGATGATGATAATGACAATAACATTAGTGAACAATAGAATAAATTTTATATATTTCAAAAATTTTTGTAAATATTAAAATTAATAAAATAATAATAATTATAAATATAATATTAAAATTAATAAATAAAATAATAATAATTATAAATATGATAAAATAATAATAAATTATAAATATAAAACAATTTGTTTATATATAATTGTAACTTATCAAAACTTTTCGAAAAAATTGAAAATATAACAAAATTTTTTATAAAAAATTTCTGGAATATTGCGAATTTTTTTACAAAATTTCCGGAATATTTGTAAATTTTTATTACAAAAAATTCTAGAAAACTGCAAAAATTTTCAGAATATTACGAATTTTTTTTCTGGAAAATTTCGGGAGTCTACAAAACTTCCGAAAAATAATCGAGCTGAAAAATTTCTGGAGATTTTTGCCTTTTAAAATTTCCTGATGGGTGTTACTTAGTTACAAAGGTGTTTGTGATGGACAGCCCAGACGCTTCTGGGTGGAGAGTAGTACCAACTTCCTAATTCTGCACCCTCTGTACTGTGTAGTCACAGGTCTTTCGTGATTTTCATGCCACAATGATATCTCAGTATAATAAACTATCAGTTCACTTCAGATGTTTCTGTTGGACCGCTGATAGCGGGCTGTAACCTGGGATCTATGAAGGATAATATCCTGCTGGTCCAGTGAGTGTTTATGATATGAGAAAGTACTCCCATGTCATTAGTGACTAAAAATGAGCTCGTACGACTCATGTAATACGAGCAAGGGTTGGTCCGAATACAAAAAAAAAAAAAAATCTACAACACCTATCACTTGTATCTTTTAAGCTATCTGATATATTACTGAAAAAAGTTGCTCGCTTATGTACTAATTTGCGCTGCCTGAAATTGGGATATTATAAGCATATTACCAATGCATCTATAATCGAGATTACACAAAACTACATATACTTAGAATAATTTGGTTTACGAGGAAGTAATATTACCGATGCATCATTAAAACAGATTGCTGAATTCTGCTCAAAACTTCTCATTCTAAGTTTAGTCAGATGCTAAAAAATAACAGATGAAGGTATATGCGCAATTACTGTAACTTGTTCAAATATGCAAAAATATATATTGGAAGACTGTGAAAAGATTACTGATACATCAGTTAAAAAAATCGCACAATCTAACTCAAAACTTAAATATCTCAATCTTAATGGGTGTGAACTCGTATTCAACAAGTCTGTTTGTAAGATAGTACAGCTTTGTCCTAATCTTGAAGGCCTTCAAATTGAATGTTGTAATATTAATGATGTATCTATGATCGCATTAGCAAATTTACGCAATCTTCAAAAACTTAACATTGAGGATTGTGGAAAAATCAGCACAAATGCAATCATAACCTTGCAGAATAAAAATTCCACTCTTGTTATTATCAGTTGGAATTTAGATGTGAATAGTGAGTCAGGTATATCATTATAACGGAGCTAACTGAATTATTATTTTTTGATATAATAACATTATTTAGCCTAATTGGGATGAAAGAAGAAAAAATACCCATATTTGTATACAATATCGACGAAACATCTAGCAAATCCTCAGAACGAATGAAAGGCAATAAGTTTTTACCTGACCTCCCATTTAGATTACTGGTATGTGGAGGCTCCAATAGTGGAAAAACGAATATGATAATTAATCTTATGCTAGGTAACAAATTACAACGAATGTTTAAAGGTAAGAAAGGAAATCATTATATCAAAAATGATGATCTCGTATTAATAGGTAAGCATTTTGAGCCAAAATGGAAATTAGTTCAAAACAGTTTCCAGATCTTTGCGAATACCCCAAAACAGTATCAAGAAGATGTAACATTTAAAAGAATATCACCAGATAAGATTCCCGATATAACTAAATTCTCTTCAGAACGAAGTACAGTTGTCGTGTTTGAGGATTTATGTGCTGAGCCAAAGAAAGTACAAGAACGAATTATTCCGTACTTCATTAGTGGCCGGCATCAAAATATCTCACCCATATATGTGAGCCAGAAATATACACAAACACCTAAAATTATTCGTGAAAATTTAAGCCACCTTGCACTATTTAACAATGGGGGAAGCCGAGAAGATCTCATTCGTATTTTACGTCAATTTGTAGATGATCCCAAAAAGGTATCCAAGATCGTTGAAAAGCACTTGCAGAATCGAAATTTTATAGTTTTTGATTTTACTAAGACGATAGATGATCCACTTTCAATTAGACTCGGATGGGATACTCCTTTAAAATTAGAAGAATAAAATTTAAAAACTAGTAAATCTTTTGTTTGCTATGAAAAAATTATCTTTAAATGATGCTTATGCTATTGCCAAATCCCGTGGTGGGAAATGTCTTTCAACTGAATACAAAGATAATAAAACCCCATTAATATGGCGTTGTACTAAGAATCATACATGGAGTGCCCCACTTCGTAGAGTTAAAATTTCTGGATCGTGGTGCCCATATTGTGCAGGTACCGTAAAACTAACTCTTGAAAATATCAAACAAATCGCATTATCTAAACATGGAAAATGCCTTTCAACCGAGTATAAAAATAATCAATTACCATTAATGTGGCGTTGTAAAGAAAATCATTTATGGCGCGCATCTGTTGGCAATGTGAAAAGTGGTAAATGGTGCCCATATTGCGCAGGTAATGCCCGACTTACTCTAAGAGATGCCAAGCAAATTGCACTCAACCGAAATGGCAAATGTCTTTCAACCACATATAAAAATTCTGATACGCCAATGGCATGGAAATGTCATCAAGGTCATATTTGGAATAGCCCATTTCATAACATTAAATATTCCGAAGCATGGTGTCCATTTTGTGCAGGTAATATAAAGTTGACTCTTGAGGACGCAAAGCAAATCGCATTATCCAGGCATGGTGAATGTCTTTCAACTGAGTATAAAAATAATAATGATCCGCTCATTTGGAAATGCCAATTCAATCATCAATGGCAAAACGACCTTAATCACATTAAAAATAGAGGACAGTGGTGTCCATTTTGTATTGGTCGATATCAGTCAATAGAGGATATGCGTAAACTTGCAAAAATAAAAAATGGGAATTGTCTCTCAGATCGATACTATGATTCACAAACAAAATTAGAGTGGATTTGCGAAAATAATCATAGATGGGAAGCTATTCCCAATAGTATTCAACAAGGAAGTTGGTGTCCGTATTGCGCAGGTAGTATGAAATTAACTCTTGATGATGCGAAACAAATTGCATTATCTAAACACGGGCAATGCCTTTCAACCGAGTATAAAAATAATCAATTGCCATTATCATGGTGTTGCAAAGAGGGCCATTTATGGCAAGCATCTCTTGGTAATGTGAAAAGTGGTACCTGGTGTCCGTTTTGTTATAAATATAAACGCGAACAATTATGTCGAGAAATTGTAACAAAGTATCTTGGTCCACCATCTGAAAATCGTAGACCAGATTTCTTGAAAACACCTGAGCATCCAATAGGATTAGAACTAGATATTTATTATCCGGATTATGGATTTGCTATCGAAGTACAGGGACAACAACATGAAAAATATATCAAATTCTTTCATAGCGGAGATCCCAATAATCTTATCAAACAGCAGGCACGGGATCAACTCAAGAAAGAATTGTGCGAAGAAAATTGGATCGTTTTAAGGTATGTTTGGTACTATGAAGACCCATATATAGTTATTCCAGAGCACCTTCGCGAGTTGGGTCTTATTGAGTAAACTCGAAACTTTAAATGCGCAATTAAAAATTATGTTCCTAAAATTTTATACTTTGCGCAATGCATGACAAAAGTAAATACTTTATTAAAAAAATAAAAAAAAATATTATATTACATTTTGATTGTTTTGTCACAAGAGTTAAATCACGACTTTATTTTTTTTCGCCTTGTATTCTTTTCCTTCGAATTACACCTTTTATTCTTTTTTTTCTTCGGAGTGTTCTCACATTCAACAAAAAATTTAATTGGCGCGGGTGGTGGAGTAGAGTATTGTTCATCCTCAAGCAATTTTTTTAATAAGTCATCAGATTCAGTATCATCATCGTCGTTCAGAATATTCAGAATTTGTAGGTTGTTCTTAATCATAATCTGTGAAAATAATTAGAACACGGAAGAGAAATAAAACAATAACTACAATATAAGATTTATCATACCTTATATTGGTATATCTTTTTCAGAAAAATAATGAAGGAACTTAATCCATTTTTCGAGAACTTGCTTTCTATATAGAAAGATTGGGGATCTTTGCGAAAAATGCAGATCGATCCACCGGCGCGCCATAATCTTGCGAATTGAATATACAATCCAAAGTGTAAGATGCCAAATACTTGAAGTTTATCTGCTTTTTGATCATCATAATTTACAGCCTTAATCAAATCACTATACATGTCTCGAAGTGTTTTGGGCATCTTGAATGACTCGAGAAGATATTTGTTATCGGAAATTCCCGCAAAAGCCCTTGCACCTTCGATAGCCCCGAGTTCAAGAAGTCTATTAGTTATGTATATTATCCCATCGATTTTGCGACCAACGAGCTTTCTTTCCGATGCCGATTCTTTCTGTTGGCACTACTCAATGATGGTGCGTCGGTTCTATAAAAGTGATAAAATAAGTGAAATTATGAAATGATGGTAACTCATTGTTACATTAACGGAAATGGATAAAACCTCTTAACGTCAGTGCCCAATTGTGCATCCCTAATGCAGAAATCGATACATGTTCCAAAAAGTGCAACCGTGAACCAATCTTCATATTGGGTCTTTACTAAGGGAGTATCTATATTCTCAAACAGATTGCAAAGTGTTCGCATGGTCATTTGGATCCATTCTTGATTATAATGCTTGTGGACATCATATTCTTCTTCTTCCTTAAGATATGATTTCATCACTTTTGTACGTAGCTCTTTTAACGTTTTGCTTCCATATTTTGCTAACTCTTCTGCGATATCACGTGGAAAAGATGGAACCCCAATTCGATCTTTGGTTAGTTCGTTCCACTCTTCATCAGTAAACAACGCTTTGACATCCTTATCATCAAAGTCAACAATATATGAATGGGCATGGCTAATCAAATCATCGTCAGTATTGTGAATGGCAGGATAAAAAGAATTTAAATTTTGAGAAACTTACTGTTCATAGTCCATGTCTTTAACAAATTCAAAAAGAATGTCTTCCACTATTCTGCCTGTGCTCAACTGCAACTTTGTAGAGTTTGGGATAGCATTATAGGCCTTACGAAAAGCCGTCTTGCCAATTTTTGGGGGATCCTTCTCATTTATATTGTCCTCAGATGCATCGGTATCAGAAGCCGATTCTTCAGAAGTTGATTTGTCAGTGTCGCTTGTATTACAAAGGAAATAAAATTATAGTCTAAGAAAAATTGAAGAATATCGTTCAAAAGATAATCATGCGATACATTGATATGTAGTCCGAATCATTATCATTCTTAGATGTAGAAAAGGAGTTCTGTGATCCTGACTCAGCCTAAAAAAGAATCACGCCGATTAGTAATTGATTGCTATGAACATTAACAATTCCGAGATCATACTTCGTCCTCCTCATTGAATGTTTCTTTGGAGTCGTCGCTTAATATTTCTGGTTCCCGGAGTTTCTCAATAAATTTGGTTGACCTTTGGTCAGAAGGATCTTGGAAGAAAGTGCCGATCTCGCCAATTGAATCCTACAGAAACACAAAAATCAGTATCAAAAAAAATTAAGAGAAAAAACCATCGCAGCTTTACCTCATCCTGATTATTGTTCTTTGGCACAGGTTTGGCATTGCCAATTATAGTCTTATTTACACCATTTATTGGCCCGTTCACCATCCCGCTCACCGTTCCGTTTACCGTCCCATTTATAGTTGGATGGTGGATATTAAACTGTGCACACGAACGCATATTGTTTCACTCTTTTGCTCGTTTTTTATCGGGTTGATTACCCTAAAATGATAAATTTAGAAAATTAGTAGAATCCTTAACTATTATATTTTCATTCCATCTAACTTCATTTTTCCATCTAACTTTCATTTTGCCATCAGACAGGCGCGAAGGTATCTGTGGCTAACAGTGTCAGTAGGCTCGAAGACTTTTAAACATCAGGCAAGCTCGAAGGTCACCTGTGCCCCAACACTGTCTTTGTGGCTCGGCTCGAAGACTTGAATGATAGGATAGCTCGAAGATCCCTATCACGCCACTTATATTAAAAAAGAAAAAACTCTACTTTCCTGCTTGTAAAGATTGAAGAGTTTCTGCGCTTTTTTACGCTTTTGCCCATCCTCTGTGGAAATGATCAACTCGAGGGACGTTAGGTAACACTCTATTTTTTGTCTATAAGATTCTATGTCACATTCACTGAGGAATCCAATGATGTCCCATTCGGATACCTTTCGTGTAAAATATTCATGTATCTATTTTTGGAATGAACGAAAGGTAAAAAGCTGAGATCGCAAAAAATGAAAGTCTATTCGCATTAACTTTCGTACCATTTTAGATGAAGACATGATTATAGTTGAGTGAAAATTTTTTTAGAGTCAAAGTGGCAAAGAAAAAAAACGCGTGAGTTAGTAAGCAAATGCTAGAAGAGTGGAAATTTTTTAGAGTCAGAGACAAAGAAAACGCGTGAGTTAGTAAGCAGGGGAATTATATTTGCATATCACGAGACCAAAACTACTTTGGCCGGCCTGCAGAATCGTACGCCAATATACGGATGATCCAAAAAAAGCATCTAAGATTATTGATAAACATTTGCGAGATCGAGATTTTGTAGTATTCGATTTTACTAAAGCGGTGGACGATCCTTTAAGTGTACGTCTTGGTTGGGATTCCCCTCTGAAATTGGATGAATAGATTGGGACTTCAGACATGCAAGTAATTTTTCTGCTTTTTGCAATTTTAATTTCTGTTGATCGATTTCACTGCGCAATTTATTATTAGCATTAACCCGCTCCTCAAGCCGTTTAGTGATTTCTTGTATAAAAGGGTCAAAAGTTTTTTTGTTGAATTCAAGCAATTGTAGGGATAAACTATCTAACTCTTTCTTAATGTGGCAATTGATCTCTTCCTCACATGCAAAACAAGGACACTTATGTGTCTGATCACAAATTGGGTCAATATCTTGGGTTTGCGTTTCCTGATTAGTCATATCTGTATCATATAAGGAATTTTTAAATAAAGGTAAACTTTTGCGTTGGTATTTTAATTTTTTCTGATATCTATTAACTTCATGTCTTAAAAATGATTCGACTAATGGGTTCACTGTACTAGCTTCCTCTGCAGTCATTGGATTTTTTTTACGAGATATTAAGTGTTTCCAAGCTTCATTAACTAAGGATGGTGGTAATTTATTGATCAAATCTGAATATGCTTTATTAAATTTCATGGCTCTTTGAGTCGTTGCTTACAACTGATATATAGTATCAAGAAACTAATATTGTATTTTACAATGCAGAAAAAATTGGAATCTTTATGAAAATTATGAAATATACATCGAGGAAAAAATAGATATACATGAATAAATTAATTAAGTATTTACTATGTTTCTATTTTTAAAAGTCGCTTTTGAAACCGATATCTCAATTGCCATTTTTTAGAACCCATCCAATCATACGGAATAATATATTCTTTATACATTCTAATTTCCTCTTCAGCAACAAAAGGATACCTATTATATTTTTTTATGTACTTGGTATATTCCTTATTAAGACGCATTTTAATTCGATCTATGGATGTGGAATTTTTCACTTTACGAGGGGTTAGACCTAGAAATTTCTCATCATCTGTAGTATTATCATTCGATAAACTTAACCAAGCAAGGCGTGCATTTGATGGTACTCTTTCTTGAAATCGTCTATATGCCCGTTGTATAACTCTGACACTTCCGGAATCAGTTTTCAGTTTATCACATTCATTATCCCAATGACTGATCATCAAATTACTAGGTATGAGACGATCAACATACCTTTGTCTAGTAAAATGGAATGATTTTTTAGGTTGTACATCATCAATTTTTATGAGTTTTCAGCAACCAAAACAAATTGCCATATGGCTCTTATGAATTCTCAATCTATAATAATCGAAATTAACAAATTTACCTTGACCAAATGATCCAAATAGACACAGTCTATGGTATACACTAAATTTTCCAGCATTCAACAAATTCTGTAAAGGTACTCTAACTCGTATTGCCCATTGAACTGCTGTTTCATTCTGTTTTATAGTAGACAAATTGTCGAACAATTTCTCATTATCGAAGAATTCGTCATATCGTTTTCCATCAAAAGAGAGATAATGTCCAATGTACGAAGTGACATATTTAAGATCATACCTAGGACAAATATTAAAGGGTTTAGGTAATATTCTATCTTTCTTATCGATGAAGGTTGTAATATCGAAACCAGACATATTTATCGATTATAGAGAATATATATTTAGCGATTTTAACGTTTTTGACCTACAATATACATGTCTATTGCACAATTCAATTTTTGTTGATTTCAGTTTATGCTTAAAAGATAAAGAAGTTGTTTCGATATATAAGGGTACAGAATCGAGACTATCTACTGTTGAGAACATTGTTAATCTTTCTAGCTCTTCATCTTTTAGCTCTTTAGTATCCAACTCGGATAGAAACGCTCTATTCCTCAGATCCATTTCAAAATTATTTTCTATACATCGATATTATTTGAGCTAGGTTCGATTATTTTTCCATTCCAATTTGTCACGCAAATCATATAATAGATGTAAAGTATTTTTGTGATTTGGTGAAGTATGGAAAAGTAAAGTATCTTGAGATCAGGTATTAATATTTATATAAAATTACTTGTGTAGGGGAAGCCCATTGCTTTGCAATAGATATTATTGCAATGATTACTCATAACGATTGACAGGCATATGAAATCAACGAATGATAGTTATGATAGAATGTGAATGGGAGATCTATTTCGAATATCTCCGCTAAAATAATTAACCTATCATGTTGTACATGCCATAGAAAGAATTAGAATGTAATAGAACCTGCATGCATCATTAGCTCATACGATACACCGATTATCAAATTTAATTAGTACCCCATTACACTCTGCATATCTGTGTGAAAACATCTTAAAAACAGATATATAATACCATTTTTTATACTTTTATTAGCTTTACTGCTCCACAATTTATATTTATCGCAAAACTAATCTGATATGTTGTACTTTTTACAAATAGGGATATCGATAACCTGGTCTAATTAATCAACTCGAGATATATACATATTCTTTGTTCTTGTGCATACGTTATCTTTTTCCTAATTTATTCTTCGGTGTAATATGAAAGAAAACAACAAAAAGTGATAAAAGGAAAGTATAGTGGACTTTTTACTTATAACCAAGCAAATGGACATGAAACATATACATATTCTTTGTTATAGTGCATATATGGCTTTTCGAGATATTAAAAAGGAAATAACGAGATATGTTAAAAGGGAGTATATTGACGCTGTTGAAAGTTTTTGTTGCGTTTTTATTATACAACGAAGCTAGTGTTTCTAACTCATATTTTTATAACTTAAATAAATTATAAACATGTCTTCTGAATTATATCAAACGATCTATAATTTTTTTACTACTTCTCCCATAGAGCATATAACCGCTTTTTCAGTTATCTACCAAGTAATGGAGGACGAACCATTAATTCAACAAGATACGTTGAGAGAAATAGTTAACTGGGCTATCGACGCTTCAACAAATATATATTCTAATAATTTGATAGCTCAAAATAAGCTTCTTAAGATCCCTATACAGGTTAGTTATCATTGTTTCAAAGAATAAAATAAGCCTCTTAGTATCATCTGATGTTTGACGTATTTTTGATATTGAATTTTCGAACCTGTGGAGACTTTAGTCAGGGGGTGATCTGTTAACATATTATTATAGATTCAACTCTATAAAAATAGAGGTAATCCTGGGTGTTCATTAGTCTATTAGTACCGGGAGTTCAACACCTGGGGACGCATGAGGACACTCTGACTTTAATCTCGCAAGTTTTGATATTCAATTGCAGAAAAATGGGGAGGCATAGATCTGCAGGCCACGGAGAAGTAGCAACCCTGTTATAATGTTCTGATGACACAAGCTTGTGATATTTAGTTGATTCATAACTATTGAAAAAAATCTAACACATATCTTTTTGCGTTAGTTTAATGATGCCTTTGAAGGAGTTCGTAGTGTTAATGATATAAAAAGGGCAAGATTAGAGAAGCATCTTAACAGACAGGAAATTACTGTAAATATTGGCGACTCAAAAAGAAAGTTTTTGGTGAGTACAGATATATTAACTATATTATAGTCATTATACATCCAGAATACTTACTAAGAAATTCTCATTTTAATTGCATAATATTTTTATAGCAAAATTCCTCTCAATTGACCCTAGAATTACAAGAGGAGGTGAATAAAATATCTGAATCGAATTTGACATGGCGAGACCCACTTGCTAGTAAGGTAATAAGCGATGAGTCTGATTTAGTTCAAAACCTGTCGAGTGGGGCAAAAAAATCTTTTATGAGACCATCCAACAAGATGCGGGTACAAACACCTTCTATTATTCACGATATGTGTGCTACCTTTGTGGAAAATTTTCATGATGATATGGAAACTATACCACAACATCTTTTCCATGATAATACTTGGAAGGAAAGTGACGAGACTTTGGCAAATGTTACAAAAAATATTCTCGATTCCTTAAGAGATATTTGGAAGAATCTGGCCTATAACGCAGAGTTTGTGAGTGCTCAAAGTGAGGGGACATACGTAACAGATATAATAGTTCCTCTTATTCGGGCCTCCCTAAGAAAGCTCCCAATAAAAAAATATGGTTTTCTTAGCACGTAAGTTTGATAAATTTTATATTATACATGTTTTACATAATCAACTAATTTATTTTTGTTTAGTGCGGAAAGGCAAAGTTTGACTAGTGCTAACAGAAGAGGAAGAGGTAAGCAAGGCAAATGACCCGATGTTATGTTTATGGAAAAACATCGAGAAAAGTTGTATGAACTTATGTTTATCGAGTGTTCCTGTATAATTTGTACTGAGCGTAAAAAAGATGATGATGAAGTGAAATTATGGCGAGAAATGAATGACGGGGTAGCATATGTGTATAGGTCATGTAGACCCGATAAAAATGAGTTCGGAATCCTTGGTATACAGATTGCAGGAAGTATGATGCACTTGAATATTCTTATTAAAGATTCTTACGACATTCATCGTCTCTTTCACCTTTGCTCTGTAGAAATACCAATACGACCAAGTAGTGATGAAAATGTATTGCAATTTGTGGAAGCATTGTTACTTTTACGAAATATCATGATCATTGATATATCTTTATTATTCCATTCATCAGAGACTAGATCCGAACGACTCAAGTGACAAAGTTCAAGCTCTACTATATCTTCACCCAAGTATTATAACGACTAGATAAATTATTTATATATCAATATCTCGTATTTTCATCGTATATCATGTATTTTATCTTGTATTTTTATTGGATATATATTTTATTAATAAAGATTTTTTGTTAGAGGAGCGTACAACGTATCACATGTTATTTTTTGTATAATGTATGCTAATTAGTACATGTTGATTGACCGTGTTACTTGATCGAATTTACTATATATGATTGAGAATTTTTCCAGATTTTATTTTTACCACATTAATAAAGCTAGCCCTGGTGGTTGATTTCGCATAATTAATCGTGTTTAGTTTATTGATATTATTGTATATTAACTGGCGAAAGTGATTGGTTAATCATTGTTATGTATTATATTAATAAACAAGCTTTTGAATAATCCGTATTTTATGTAGAACAATGGCAGATTCTCAATTCACAATTGATTCTTTGAAAGAATTGAAATCCAGACTTGAAACTGAGAATGATAAACTTAAAAGAGAGAATGCTGAAATCTTAACTAGAATTATAAAATTAGAACAGATTTGGGCAGAAAAAGAAATTAAAAAAAATCGCAAATTTCAGACTAAATGCATTCAGATAATTAAAGAAATTCTTAATGAGGAACCAATAATTGAGTACTGTCCTTCTTTCCTGAATGGGTTAGAACTTGATGCCTTCTTTCAAAAATACCGAATTGCATTAGAAGTACAAGGGGCTCAGCATCGGCTTCATAGCACTAGCTGGTATAAAGATGTCAAAAAACTTGAGGATGTTGTAAATCGTGATCGGAAAAAAAGATGCATGTGTCAAGATAATGGAATTTTCTTGCTTGAGGTATGGTATGATGAAAAACCGGAAATATAGTTATTCCCGAAAGGATTCAAAAAATTAAGGAGTTCATTAATCAAGCATCCCAAATTTTCAATAACAATAATTTATAATACATATCTAAATTAAAGATAACTTTTATAATACATTTTTTTTGCTTTGATCCTAAATAAAAATCATGTAAAAATAGCCCGATTTTAAGAGGCAAGGAATCAAAATTGTGTCTTGTATAATTTGCTAACTTTAACATGACAACTTTAATATTCAATTTACACTTCACAAACCTGATATAAAATAAATGTATATTTATGGAACACGAAAATTTAAATGACGTATTATTTTTTATTTCGTATCGCAAATATATACATAATCTTTTCTGATCGTCTGTCACAAAATTTGATGAGCCAATTAACTAGTAACAATATTTCAAAAGATATTGACGAATTTTAGTTAATGCAGTTAACACAGCTTCCCTTCCATCTGGGTCTGCAAGATCAAGACCACTTTTATCATCATTTTCTGCAGGCCATCTTTTAATTATAACTGAATTATCTTTTGGTAAACCATTCGCAAACTCTCTCCAATATTCTGCAGAAATCTCAGCCTTGTAAAATGTAGTATAGGTAGAGATAAAACGAACGGCAAATAAAACCTGATCAGTAACCTTTTTAACATTACGTATATTTTCATCTCCACAAGAAAGTATTTCGGCAGCAATTTGCATTTCCCCAAAATTAAATCTGGGATCAACGTTTTGTAAGGTTTTATCCTGTCAAAGAAAACCTATTTAAGTAATCAAAGATATTTGACCGGCAAAACAATAAATATAACACATACTTCTACCACAATCATAGATATCGCTTTCTTAGTTACCACGAATTCGGGTTTTGCCGAAACATAAGGCTCGTTGAAAATGTGTAGCTTACATGGTAGTTGTTGTCTGATTTTGCAGAAAGAAAATTTAGGAAGCTATTGAGATAATATGGGGTTTTCTCAAATTACTCACGCTATCTTCAAAGGGTAATCATTCAGTCGGGCAATACGAAGCAGATCAGCAACCAAATCATCAGTGCGGGACTCGGGTATTCCTGGTGGGTTTCTCGTGACAATAGCAAGTTTATCAAAGAAGGTTTGAACAGACTTATTGGAAAAATCGCTAATATTTCCAACATTGAAATCATCATCTTTGAGCATTTTTCTATTTATTCGAGGGCAAACATATTGCTCCGGGAAATCTTCTATTTTCTCATTAGGAATAACATGGTTTTCAGATGCTGGTCGAAATTGTACTCTCATTGCTTTTACATCATCATTCGTAAATTTATTTGCTTGAGTATTGATGTGATTCGGGAGTTTAAGTAAGACTCTGACTATATTTCGCGATTCCTTAAGAGTTGAAAAAAATTTGACGAATGCAGACATTGAAAAAAAAAATTGATTATTGAGTCAATCATTGCAAAATGTAATTTTATATTGTAAGAAATTGAATCACCGAATGCGATTTAGATTATCTAGTCATGTGCAAAATGTAATTTTAATTGCTTTATATTATCACCTTCAAAGATTCGAGGGCTATTTATTTCTCACCTTTCTTTTGCCACGTAATGATGATAAAACATGAGAAACATGTAAGTAGAAAATTCGTTTATTATTGTACAATCGAAGTGGAATCGCGAGTTTCATGACCAAAAAATAATAAAAAATACCTAAACGGGCTATATATGAGAAATTGGGTTTCACGAAAAAAACGCCTGTTTTATACATATCATCGTGTCAGCCACTTTACATGATACTGCATATAAAACTCGAATTTTGTAACAATAAATCATCTTATTTTGGATAGTATATGTGAAAAATTCCTTATTCGTAAATCTGTATCTGAAAATTCGGTAAAATTATTTCCGTAGATATTCGGTCAAAAAGTTTATAGAAATAACGTATGTTAATTTATTTATTATTTATTCTGATTTACTGTAGAATGACTCGATCCCTGGATAAACTCTGAAATTTCCGAATCTAAACAATCATCTTTCACGAGACTGTATCATCAAAATTTCCAAGTTTCTGGAAGAGAAAAGTACAATCCATGAAGCAGTACATAAACGCTTCCCTTTCCTGTCTTACACTAATTCGAATGCATGGTACCGAGATGTTTTTAAATATACTGACTCAGAAGCTAAATGTCCGATATGTAAAGAAGTACATACTCGTTTAGGAATATGGGGCGACTGGAGCTGTCTAGGTAAAGACGATCACTATTTTCTTAACTGTCCTTTTCGTATCGATCAAAAGAAAGTTATAATTGCTAAACAGAGCTTACCGGAAATCCAAGTAAGTGTACCAAACAAAATCCAGAAGGTAGAGCCAGAGAAATTTTTGATCGCTACTGAGGAAAAGAAAAATATGTGATGCATCCGCGATGATTTGAAAGAGATAACGCAGAACAAATAAGTTTCAAGGAAGCAAAGCTTCGAGTCTTTGACTCATCATTACCTTTACTCAATCCGTCGTATTTATATAAAACTCCATGCCCTACTTGATTTTAATTTATAAATGGTCGTACAGTATATCTGAAAATTTAGAATATGCGGATTCAATCATCACCGGACAAGAATTATTTTTTATTGGCCTTTTTTAGAATTGTAATACGCAACTGCAACTTATAATGTATTTAATGTATTTCAACCGAATTGTAACAAACCACCACCTCAAAATGTTTCTTTCCCACAACAATTGTACCCACAAACTAAGTACAATAATGAAAAATCTAACGTTAACACTTTTCATCATTGCAATCTATAGCAATTTTGCTCTTGCTAGAGAGTCCTTGAAATGGGGAGGAGTCAAATTATTTGATGCCTTTCAGAGCGAAAAAAAATATGCTAGGATATTCTCAAACCGCTCATCCTCATCTAACGTAGAAAGGGCTACCTGTCCACCTGGATATCCATATGAATGTCCAGGGACTGATTATTGCTGCGAAACGGTGTGTGGCGAAGTTTGTGAATACGGTTGTTGTAATCCGGGAAACTCATGTTGCAAAAGAGGTTGTTGTTTACCAGGCTACCTATGTCTTGAAGATGGTTATTGTTGTCCGCCAGGCTACAATAGTTGCGGAAACGGTTATTGCTACGAGAAGGACAAGATTTGCGTCGGAATAGGCCGTTGTGCTGCAACATCGACATTGACCTCGAAATCGACATTGGTATCGACACGAACGCCAACACGAACGACATCAACACGAACAACGAATTCAACATCTACAGAGGAACCTGAGGAGCCTGAGGAGCCTGAGATACCAGAGCCATCAATTTCTTGTGGTTTAACAGCAGATGAAATTAAGAGTTCTAATTATCGAGATACTGCCAAAAAAGCCGATCCTAATACATTTGCATATGAATATGAACCCAATAGCGGAATGATAATCCAAAAGACCTTGAAAGATATCGAAGATAATCTATCTTATTATGATGCTGACCATGTTTTTGAAGCACAAATTATCACGAATTGGCTTGGACACTTGCCAGAAGAATACCGTGATAAAATGTGCTGCAGTATTAAGTTAAACCTTAATGAATTGAAGGATATCGTCAATGATGAAACTAACTTACGATTTCTTTCCAAAGAAATTAATAACGCCAAAGGTCAATTATTTGCAGGTAATAAAATATCTGATCCAAAGCGCGAATTTGCGGTATCATATTATCTGGCTATAGATGACGTCTACAACGCATTTGTTATGACTCGTAACAAAGTGATAGATTTTTTGGTTAAAGCCGTAGAAGAAGTGACGGATAATGTCTGCGACGGATTTACCGTAGCTCGTAGATCTGTGACCATTCTTTTGCGTAGAGCAATTAACGTCACTTACATTAAAACAGACTTCAGTGATTTCTCACGTTCTGCATACGAAAATTTGACATATAGGACGTTATCTGATGACAAAACCAATAACAATTCTTCTAACGACTCCTCTTCAATCTTTCAATTGCCATACCTTTCTATAAAATTATTTATGACCTTAAGTTTCATGTTTTTAGTTTTTGACTTAGTCAGGCATAAAGCTCCTCATAGGCCTTAAGGCTCGCGAGCCTGGCGAGCCAAGCCGATCCAAGCCGAGCCGAGCCTGATATTATAGGCTCATAGGCTCGCGAGCCAAGTCCAACTAAGGTCTGGCTCGAGCCTCAAAGTAGGCTCGCGAGCCTTAAAAATTTTGGGGCCTTAAATAAAAGCCCCACATAATTTTTTT